GCTACCTGTAAAGGGTTGATTGCTCTAGCTTACCACAAATGTAAAAAGCATTTTTCTTAGTGGGCATCAGGGAAACATACCAACAATAGATATTGTAATTATTAACAGAGGTTCCCTAAGACTAGAAAATTATTTCAAGGGTTCCTCCATGTTAAAAATGTTGAGAAAGGCTGGTCTAAACTAACAGAGATCTTTCAAAGATGCATCAAGTGGTTGTTAGAATAATGGTCCCTCCCATAAGATTACTTACATGTAAAACCATTTTTGTTCACCACTGATTTTCCCTATCAAAAAGTAAAGAACATTATTTGCCACCAACAAGAAAAACAATAGATCTGTTTTCTAAAATGTAAAACTCTTTTCTGTTGGTCATATAACTCTAGTTATATGACCAATAAAATGTCATTATTTTACAATATTAACACAGGCCAACACACATTTTGCCATATCCCACTCTTCACTTAGGTCACTCATCAAAAATCAGAATATTGTGATGCAGTGTTTTATTTAATATCCTTGTAGCATGAAAGAAAAACAGAAAAAAGTAGCCATAACCTCTACGGTGCTTAATCTGCAAAAATGAAACATAATGAGTGGCAATATACACACACCTTCTATATGATCAAAACTATAATACACTTAGTAACTTACACTTTAGAAACCAATGTTTCTGATATAAAATTACATTTGGAAGTATGTAAACACTCTAAATTTGATAACTTGTATGCAAAAACCTAATCTGGGTAACAGGAGAACAAGTTGATCAGCAAGATCTTTTCAAAAAATGACTAAAAATATAAATCAATTCCATCATATCTACCTAGAGCTGACGCAGCGTAGCCAATTAAATTTTCTGAATCAGTACCCCCAAAAAACCCCAAGAACAAGTCTAAAAAGCAAGACACCGAGAAAAAAGTTTTTTTGGGCTGTGAATTGTAGCAGAATGAATAACATAATAATTGCCTCAGCATACAAGCTTTTTATGGCCAGAAGAGTTTTAGAGGTGAACTTCACCCCTTGAAGCATGTGTTGCATAGAACATTTTACTTACACAGATGGATGCTGTTTTATACAAGATGTAAGGCTATTACTTTTACCAATTTCACAAAATGGGATAAATATGTTTGATCTCTCTTGAGGCCCCAAATTACTACTGGAATGAAGGTATGGTTTAAATATATGACATGGACTACACAGAAGACAAGCATTAAAAAAATGATAAAAGTCTTCATGTTCTAAAATAGGTTACCATTGCCCTGTACAGAGTATTGACAGTAGTGTTTGATGTCTGTTTGGGAGTTGAGCAAATTCAGCACTTAAAAAAAAATATCAGGCATGGACTGAACAAATCTACACCCACAACAAATTCTCTGAACAAGAAGTTCTAATGTATAATTTAGGTATTATTTACATTTTCATATTTTAGCCTTTTCCAAGCCACCACTGCTTACTTATTGTAAAAGCCTTGCCACTCTGCGTTTAAGGTAAATGTCACATACACGTCATTTTATTTGTAGTATAACAAGATGTTTAATTTAGTTTTGCTAATTGAGGCTAATGCATAAAGAATCTGGTAAGCAATGTGATGTATGTTATATAGGATAACACAGTTTGATTAAGACATCTTTCTTCATTTAAACAGGGGAGGAATGGAGCTCCAGGTCCACTAGGAATTCCAGGTGAACCGGTAAGTATGCATATTAAATCTGCTTTGCTACACAATATTCTAGAGAATTGAGATGGCAGGCATTTCAAAGCTCTAAGAACTGTCATTGCTGATCTCAATTTGGTAGCTGTGCTTCCCCTAGGTACAAAGTATAGGTGATCTGAGACCTACAAATCCCAGGAAAATACAGACACATTTCTTCCAGTATTACCAAGTAGGCTCTAGAGACACTGCCATATGTTTATGTCTATGCTGCATGTTAATAGAAACTAGTTACACAATTAACACTATGCTCAATGTAGCTATTTATTACAGCAATTCTGCACTAACAAAAAGTTTACATTAAGTATTGAGCCTAAACCCCTTTTCTGTCACATAAGTCATACATTCATTTTTCACTGTGCAAAATCATTTTTGCCAGCTCCAAATGGAACGTTTTAAAATTGCATTTTCCTGCTAGTATTACATAATGAAAGCAGCTTAGCCAGTGAAAATATTTGAATGGGTCTTAAAGGCTTTTGCCTGTAGTACACTATTGTAACTATTACATTAAAATTTAACTTAATTTTGTAGAATGGGTTTTTGGTTTGAGTTTTGTTCTGCTTTTATGCATTGTTTGTAAAAAACAGTTTGCATTTATTGATTTATGATTCATACATAAGTGGCATTCCATTTTGTGTAAACTGACCTCAAACAACAGGTGGTAATACACATCTTCCTAGGGCTTACTTTGTATAATAGCTACAGGACAACTGGAAAAGCTTACACTGCTCCTGCCTTTATTTTGACTTTGGTAGTAGCAGAATGTTAAATATGCATGTCAATGAATGGACACTATCCAAAATGCTGCTGGATAATGGCATGCATGCTCAATGACAACTTGGCTTGAGCTGTAGAAAACTGAAACAAGCGTACAATATAAAGAGAATAAAATACATGGATCAAACTAGTTAAACTGTGTGACATGACCAAGGTTCAACTATACTCGCAATGTCAGTATGTGGGGGAAATCTCGTTAACTAGTTTGAATACAAAACACCTGAAGGCAATGTAGAGGTTTGCACCCGTTAATGCCACCTAATTTGAAAAAAAAAAAGATGAAACAGAAATGAGTGACAAAACAAAATATAGTAATTTGTACAATTCTAATATTCTATATTTATTATGAGCAAATGTTATAGCTTTTTCATAATGTGTTTTAAAGCCTTATACATGAAAATTCAGACAAATCAACAATAATTGTGGTACCCAGCTTTGACATGTACTAGTTTTACAATTTTTACTAGTGAGTGAATGTATTTGCAAAGGCTAATGGATTATTTTGCAAAATTTAACCCATAAGCTTTTTTTTTCCTCCAAGACGGGGCACTTTTATCCCCTTCCTGCCCAGGCTAATTTTCAGCTTTCAGTGTTGTCACACATTGAATGACAATTGCACTGTCATGCAACACAAATAGAGGTTTATTTTGGTGGTATTTAATCACCACTGAGTTTTTTATTGTTTGCTAAATAAAATAAACCTGAAACTTTTGAAAAAAAAATCCTTTTTCTTTATTTTTGTTATACAATTTTGCAAATGAATAACATTTCTTCATAAATTTAGGTCAAAATGTATTCTGCCACATTTGGTGAAAATACCCGAAATTAGTGTATATTATTTAGTCTGTAGAAAGGTTATAGAGTTCACAAACCATGGTATATATATCTGACAATCGATCAATCAATTTACTGACTACCAATCTAATTTCTTGATTATATAACTGGTGTGGCGGTGATCAGGGACACTGACTGGTGACAGTATGTAAAAAAAAAAAAAACAATTTTCTTTTTTATTACTATATATTTTTTTTTTTTACTATTTTTTTTTTCAACACACCGTGACCAAAACAATACAATGTTACCATAGTAACAGTGAACTACTCTGGCCAAGTGATCAGGATTTTTTTTTTTACACATTATGATTGCTAATACCAATGTATTTCCTTGATCTTTGGAATCATTGTTACTAAATGAAACTGATTCATTCAGTCTTTTGATGTGATTAGCTGTGATTGGGCAAAGCTGATCACATGATACAGATGGGCTGTGATTGGCCCTGTCTGTACCATGTGACTGTTTTGATCAATCACAGCTAACAACACAATTGTATACATTGACTGGCATGACAGGAAGCCATCCATTGTACATTATATTGTGATTATACAATCGACATGTGATCTGCTGTGATTGGTCACAGCGATCACATGACACTGGCAACGGGCCGTTGTAGTGATATGTCATCGGCTGTGTCCCATGGACAGATCGTGCCCTTGCGCGGCCCCATGAATTGCTGCTTTTGACAGGACATCATATGACGCCCAGTCACAATGGCAAGTGTCCTGCCCGTCCGTCAATCTGCTATAGGTCGGGTGGGAGGGTGTTAATTAATTAATTATTTAAAGAGATTGCATGTGGTTCCCCAACTACAGATACCAGGCACATGCAATAGACACATGTCCTTCAGAACTTCTGACAGAAAAAAAAGTATTAATTTTAAAGTATTTTGAAGAGATTTGGTAATTTATTACAGCTGAGCAGAGGTAACATAGCTACATACTTACACAGTTGGTAAGGTTGAATAAAGACACCGGTCCATCCAGTTCAAACTGTGTGGGTGTGGTTTTTTTTGTATGTATCATTTCTCTACCACTTCCTAAATCTCTGTGTATTGTGTTCATTAAGATGTCCAAGTTTTTTTTTTTTTTTAATTATCAACACTTCCCACTGACACCTCCAGTTGTGGAAAGGAAGTTCCACATGCTTATCCGAGCTTTCCCCCTATGCTAGAATGACCAATTAAATATTTGTACATTGCGATCATGTCTCCTCTCAAGCATCTCTTCTCTAGGGAAAATAAGTTTAATGTGTGTAGCCATTCCTCATAAATGAGATTCTCCAGCTCCCTTATTAGCTTTGTTACCCTTCTCTGAACTCTCTCTAGTTCCTGAGGACCGGTGCCCGGAACTGAATGGCATACCTATAGTGGAACTTTAGGTTAAAAATGAGTGAACAGGCAAGAGTTTAAATGCATTAAAGAGGGGCTTAAAATTTCAAGTCCTGAGCTACTAGCCAGGCCTTAGAGTTACTCGCCACCAACAAACACACACAAACAGAGACACCTGTACCCACACACAGACATGTACATACACACACACAGAAACATGTACACACACGCACAGAGACACTTACACACACACACACACACATACAGACACATGTATACACACACAGGCACGTACAGACATGCATACACACAGATACATGTATGTACACATAAATACACACGCACATACACATGTACATACACACAGACACATGTACATGCATACACATGTACACACAGACACATGTGTGTACACACACACACATATACATACACACAGGCACATGTACAGATACACATGTACAATTGTACATGCATACACAGACACACACACATGTACACGTACACACACACAGACACACACCCCATAAAAGGTTGCAGAACTTCGTTGTTCACTCACAGCCGGGTACTGCACTCTGGGGGGGGGACAGAGAGCACAGCACACACTCCTTGCTTTGCTTTCACTGCACTCAGCTATTGAGCAGTCTGACGGCTCCCAGTGCCAATGACACATCCAGCCTGAGCTCCGAGCCTGCTCAGCAAGACGGCCCTGGGGGACTCACTCACCCCCACCGTAATTTCCACTCGCCATTGGCGAGCAGGCAAGTGGAAATTTCAAGCCCTGCATTAACGTTACTTACCTGCCTATCCTCCCTTATACTGTGAACTGCGCATGCGCAGCTTACTGTACAAATTCGGCAATGCCGAATCTGACTGAACTCTCACACATGTGCAGGATTGGTGTTACCCCCGACTGCCCAGTGGCTGGCAACTGGGACCCAGAAGTCGTCTGCCCAAAGATGTCAGCAGCTGGGCAGGGAGATCCAGGATTCTTCATCACTGGATCCAAGGTGAGTATATTTCCACTTTAAGATGCAGCCGAGCCAGAGTTTTCTAAAATGATAGAATTATAATTTTATTTCTTCAGTAATAAAGAGAAGAATAAGTAAGTTTTCTTTAACTATCAGATCATACAAAAATGTCTGTGGTGAGGGTTCACTTTAAATATGTTTATGTTTATGTAATTTCCAATGTTGATTTTAATCTTTTTTTGAAAGTGCAGCTTTTATTAAAATAATACCTAGTGATCCTACCATGATAGTCCTGTTCAGGCGCTTCCTGTATTAGGTGGCAACACATTTTTACTGTCTTACACCTGTATTAAACAATATTCTTCTATAGTCTGTAGAAAGCAGTCCACCAATGAATGTCCTTCTATAAAGTTCAGTAAAAGTCCATGAATATTAGACCTCCTCTTCAAATGTTTCACTCTAATCACCAGAGTGTAATCGGTGCGTCACTCTCCCCTCCAGACACCTCACTAACCAGACCTAATTGCTTGTCTAGCATGAAAGCTTAGTTGCCCAATGATCCCTTGGTCCTTGTTATGTAATCCCCTTGGTGGTTTAAACCGGTCACTAAAGCTCCAAAGGAGGAAAAACAAACGAGCCACATAGCATAATCCCATTTCAAAATGTATTCAAATAACAAAACCGCCTATTAAAATGCACTCACAAGTGTACAACTGATTTCGCTTAACACATGTATCATCTACAAATTGTCAGTTAACCACATAGAAAAATGTGATCGGCGTCTCACCACACTTCTGTGAACAGTCTGCTGCGTCACTTACGGTCACGCCTGATGCATTTCGTGGTCACAACTTCCTCTAAGGGTGTGCCCATACCACGTGAGAGGGTAGCATTTATAGGCAAGGTGAACTGGGACTTAACTCACAAACAACCACACCTCTCTACATTGTTCATGTATGCTTCCACCAACCTAAAAATTATGACATCTAGTGACCATTCAAAAAGATACACTTTAAAAAATATATAATTTAACATTTGTGGTAATGGAGCCGCTCAACAACTGTCACAGTTCAATAGCCATGCATGGACTGACCATGTCCCTACACACACTGTTAATACTGCTAACTTCCTACTATATGGCTTCACCACAACACATTCAATCTTTACACTTCAGTAAGACAGCTTCAGGCACATCATAGTAAACACATGACATTTAAATTACAATAACATTAAAATATAAAATGAATTGTTTTATAAGTGATCACTAATTAATTATCCTTTTGCTGTTGTTTTTTATTTAATTTTACTTTTTTTATTTTTAATTTTATTATAATTTAAATGTCATATGGCGGCTGAGGCCATTCCATCCACTCCGGACTCCAGGGACAGTTCTGAGCAGCATCCATCCCCTCATCTCACACATGTTTTGAATGTAGCAACAGCAGCACTATTTTGTGTCCATAACAGGTTGCTATTAGCATTGTATAGTGTGTAATTGTATTTTATGGAGATAAAAGACTGGGTTTGTTGTCTAGGGGTTTGTGGGCATCCCGGAACTTCTATTAGGGACAAAGAACTGATGCTACGCCCCTGACAGCATATAAAAATTTAGATCAAATAATTCAGGTTTAAGACTTGTTCTTAAAGAATAGCAAGCTTATACTTTCAGTAATTGCTGCACTTTACACGGTATAGTATAGTCTATTATAGTATAGTCCAACAAAATGTTGATAGCAGACAACAGTTATCTCATCTATCTTGAATGCCTCGCTTTTTTACAGTACAAGAGTACTGTAAAAAGAATTACAAAATTATCTTTTTTTTGTGTGTCACTCTGACCAAGGCTTGATTTATAGCTGATGCTCTAGATGGTGTGATGGAATCTGATGTGCTGTCATAATGTACTGTAATGCCATACCAGTGTAGGGGAAGTGAAAATTTCAGAGTCTCTGCATGAGACAGAAAACTAACCGAATTAAAGTCAACTTGAAACTCTATACAATGTAGTCTTACAAAGCAACATGGGGGATAATATGGGTTCTTTGCAGCAACATTGCTCTAGGATTAAATCGCTGCACAGTTTAGAACTTCAGTCCATCTTTGAATGGTTTCCCTCTGGTTGCTCTGGTTTCTTTCTGCTTACCAGAAATATAGGTTGGTTTGTGACCATGTAATTAAACTATACTATCCCATGAAACTGCACTCAAGCCATCAGCCCCCCACCCCTACCTCCAGTCATTGTTGCAGATCCCCCTTTGCATAGTATGTAATAACGCAACAAACTTTGATAGGGACAAATAGAAAGGGTACCCTACCTGCTTTTTCTCTCACATGTTTGTCTTCCTAACAGAGATTGTTGTGTTGGACATTAATGTAAAGAATGATTTGCAAGCTTGTAGTGAGGGAAGTTCTCTTGAACCAAATGAACCTACCAGAGATCACTTTCATAGTGATGCAAAGAAATGAATAAAAACTGAGAGCCCCAATTAAGTTTAATATAGCATGATTTTTATTAGTAAGTGTTACAAGAGTATCCCACACATTTCATGATTCACCACCACCCTTCATTGGGGCTTGTTGTTACAGAATAAAAGTCCATATAGCACACTGGACAAATATAAAATAGTTTAAAAGAGTCTAATAAAAATGTTTAGAAAGGCTTGTTGAAGGTGCCTGTCAGGCAGCCCTGCAAAATACCTGCCTTGGTATAAGGAGTGTGGTGAATCCTCAAATACATTGGCTACTTCTGTGACTGTCATTTAGGCAAATATAAATCAATTGAACCTAATAAACTTAGTTGGCATGCTCACTTCTTTTGCCACTCCTAACAGAGATTATTTACAGACTCATCAGAATGTAGTTGGATTGGTTATGCATTCTTAAAGTGCTACAACACATCATATTGTAAAAACATATACAAAAGCCACATACTTAAATGACAAGTATGACCAAGTGTGTGTTTGTGTCTGTGTGACTGTGTGGTAGGGCCATGGGGATATGTCAGGAATAGAGGCTGTTCACTTAAGATTTGTATGTTCTATTTTCTTAGTAAATAAGGAGAGGCTGTGGTCACTTTGAATACCTAGTCTTATGCATGGTAAATTAAAAAAATACAGTATTTTTGCTTGCACATGCTATATGCAAATAACTATATACCAGGGGCCGACTGACAACTCATGTGGCCCCCTGGGCAATAGGGGATCATGGTGCCCCGGTGTCCTTGCCCAAACTCAAAAATGCCTATCAAAAAGGTACCAGGGGCATCTCATGGGGCCCCCTACTGACCCCGGGCCCTCGGGCAGTGCCCGAGTTTCCAAATGGTCAGTCCGCCCCTGCTATATACATATTTTAAATCAAAGTAAAGGATACTCGAGTAGGTGCAAAAGTCAGATACAAATATGTTTCAGTTCTGTAGTTATTATTTTGCTTTATCAATTCAAATTTTGATCAGATCTTTGCAGGTGTTGGAGACAATCAACTTTCTAGTATCTTCATACTAAAATTCAAGCATTACATTTGTTGTTTCAAACATACTACATATATATCTCCTTTACTTTGATAAACGAGTATTTCTGTGTTTGGTTAAATTGTATAATTTTTAACTAAAGCAAAATACCTTAGCCCTTTTAACACAGTAGTGCTGAAGGCAAATGTATCCAAGCTACATTGATGCAATAATATGAAAATGTAAATACAATTATTAATGAGTCATGACCTGGTTTCAAAATACAGCCGCAGAAAATCTGCACAATAGGGAATTGTTTTGGCACACTGTTTTTGAGATACAGTACATATAAACCACAAAGATATAATATTAGATGCTGAAATGTTTCTCTCTAAAACAGGTACAGCTATGTTGGGTGACTCAGCATTATTTGTTTAGCTTCATAGCCTTGATTTGCTTCCGACACGTAAAATGTAAGAGCTGCTAGTGATGGGCAAATCTGCCAAGGTTCCATTCAGTGAATCTTGCTTCAAATTTGGTGACCCTGAACATAGAGGAAAATCTCATTGTAGCCTTTGGGGGCAAGGAGGGTGGCAAATCTTGATGTTCAAAGGAGGCTGAGCATTGTCATAGGGGGACATGTACCAACGCAAAAATAAAAAAAAATTAAAATATGTAAATATAAAAAAAATACAGCAGGAAGTAGCTTTATTGGTCTTCTTGGAGGGCAACATTATTGGCTCTAATTAACAATAAGGGTATGCCTTAAAAACTGTATGTGGTGTTACAGAGCAGTATGATTTTCATGGAAGTCTCCGCAAAAGCACACACTGGCAGCACATATTTGGCTGTGGAATTGATTGTTTTTCTTATACAGTTGGCTTGCCTTGCATAATGTAGCTGCACCTCAATCTGATTAATTTCAGTTTGAAAAAAAGCTTTATTTCATGTAGCTTTAGTAGTTACACATGCATTTTTCATCAAATAGCAATAAGCCTGCTTCAGCTGGCAGGTAGGAAGTGGCCAGTAGTTTGCTGTGGCTGTTCTTGTTCTCGTTGATGCCAAACTTTCCTGCTGTTGGCCAATTTCTTTTAAAGGAAAAGTTCACCTTTGAGAATATTTTCCATGTTCCACCCGTTTTTAGGTGTTCCCAATGCTGCAGCTTTGGCCTGCTGCCCCCCTCCCCTGTGTGGAGCTGTGGAGCGCCCTGATAGTTCATTGAATCTTCCTGTCAGTATATCTGCTTGTGCGTACATCCCATACGGGCAAGCAGATATACTGACAGATCTGCAGGAGACCTGCATGGCATCAGAGATCTGCTGATTCTGGTGCAATGCTTTACAGGCTCCTGCAGACAAAAAAAAATAAATGCACAT